ACTCACCTCAGCCTCCCAAAGTGCTGGGATTACAGGCTGAGCCACTGAGCCCAGCCAAAACTTTCAATTGGATAGTTACATTTTACTCAGCCCAATATTTAGCAGACTGTTCAAATAGAGAAATTAGAGATATCACCCCTTAAAAAAGCTATTTGAGGCTGGGCTCGGTGGCTCAGCCTGTAATCCCAGCACTTCAGGAGGCCAAGGCGAATGGATTGCCTGAGTCTGCATGTTCACGATCAGCCTGGGCAACTTGGCGAGACCTCGTCTCTACAATAAAAAAAAAAATTAGCCAGGCGTGGTAACATGCACCTATAGTTCCAGCTACATGGAAGGCTGAAGTGGAAGGATCGCCAGAACCCAGTAGGTCATTGCTAGGGTGGCCGTGAGTATGCCACTGCACTCTAGCCTGAGCAACAGAGTGAGACTCCAACTCAAAAAAAAAAAAAAACTATTTGATTCTTTAGCTATCCTCAAATTTTCTCTTTTTGTTAAGCAGGTATTCCTACATTTGTGTGGTTAATATTACATGGAATTAAAGAGTATGTGAAAATAGTTCTTGTGGCTGTTAGATTGGGCCACTCTAACATTGTTAGGAAGAGTAAATGTTGTGTTCGTTCGCAGGAGTTAAAAAATACGGTGTTCAAATAGTTTGATAATTTTTCTTGACACTATTCAGTAATCCATTGCCTGAAAGATGATAAAATACAGGATTTTATTTAATCTTTTTTCTGTTTTCTAGAATAGTGCAACTTTATTATCTGTTAATTCAGAATTTGTGATAAGAACAATGGAATTCATTTTCATAGAAATAATATGCTAATTACATGTTTAAAAGACTCTGGCAAATACTACTTTTCAGGATATTAGCGCTTATAGAATTTGAAACTGTTGAAAACACATTTCCTCTAAAAATCAAACTGTTGCCTGGGCTTCATGGCTCAGCCTGTAATCCCAGCACTTTGGGAGGCCTAGGCAGGTGAATTGCCTGAGCCTGTGGGTTCAAGACCAACCTGGGCTACTTGGTGACCTCATCTCTACAATGAAAATCAAAAATTAACCGGGTATGGTAACTCGTGCCTGAAGTACCGGCTACTTGGAAGACTCAGGCGGAAGGATCGCTGGGGCCCAGCAGGTCGACGCTGGGGTGGCCATGAGTGTGCTGTGAACTCCAGCCTGGGCGATGGAAGGAGACTCCAACTCAAAAAAATAAAAAATATAAAAAATATAAATCAGACTCTTGTTTTTTCTCTAATTCATTTGAAAATGAGTTTTTGTTACAGTGGATGAAATTGTTTTCCTGGAAACAATCAGACTTTTCAGGTAAAGCCAAAAGATGAAGTTGTAAGCAGAGGAGCATGATGGTGAGATATGTTGGTCCAGGAGTCACTGTGTAGGGTGTGGAGTAGAGGGCCACCTTCTGAACTCAGGGTAACAACCTTAGGAAAGAGGCAAGGTAGAAAGGAGAAGAAGTTGCAAAAAGATTGGTGGCATCCAGAACAGATGCAGGAGATTAAAAGGGATGGCAGAACTGGAGGGACAAAAGGTTGTAGGCTGGTGGTGTGCTGTTACATTAAATTTTCAGAAGTGGAGTCATTGAAGTAGGTTAGTCCAAAAACTGTGAGGGCATAGCCTTTGCCAAGTCACCCAGATGGACATCAAGGACTGGGTGGGAGAAGGGAGGCCCCCTGAGCCAACCTCCAGCTTCTCAGTGAACTGGAATGTTAACCTTAGAGTCCATAGAAGACTGTGGTCTTATTGGATAACACAAGGAAAAGAGGATTTTCCTACAGGTGGAGGTGTGAGAGATCAAGGAGCCTTCACTCAGAAGCTTTGTGGGAAGCTGGGTTCATGAGAGAGAAATCAGTATTCAGTTAAGCCAAAGTAGAGAACTTTTTGGGCAAAGAGCCGAAAGATATACAGGTGTATATTTCCAGTGGGATTTGGAGATTTGCAGGTCACCCAGAGGAAAGGTTGTTGGAGGGAGAATGAGAAAGGCAAGGAGGAAATAAAAATATAGGGATGGGTTAATCAGCAAGGAGAGGTGGCCCCGGACACTTGCCTTTTTTGCAGCTCCTAGGAATGTGAAATGGTGATCCAGGCAGGGAAGTCACTTATTCCAAGACTTGCAATTAGGCTTTGGTGAATGTGGTTTCAACGTCACACCTTTGGGTGTGAGGTGAGCTTCTTAGTGATATACTTCATCGATCCTTATCACCACCAGCTATGCCAGAATATGCTCGAAGTTTCCAGTCCAAATTTGTTGAGACATCATTTAGGTGTCTCTGAACAAGTCTCCCCTAAGGGAGGTAATAAATAATTATCCCTCTGTCCTTCAGCTGAAGTGCAAGAAGCTCAATCTCCAGGTTGAAAATTATGCTTTTTTTCCCCCTAGCCTCCACAGTGCCTGAAAATCCACCCAATAAATCCCTCTTACTAGACTCTTCTTCCAGAGAATCAAGCATATGGACACCACTGTGATCTCACTGCTCATTTATTTTATGAATAAATTTGCATAGTTCTAAACTGGCTAGAAATAAAAATTATTATTAGATGCAAAGTGAATGCCTTACATTAAAAAATTCTCTAAAACATTTGCTAAATCAATATTTTATCCTCTTAATTAAAATATACTGAGAGCTTTTCCTTAATATATGTAAGTATGCAGTGGGAAATAAGTTAAGGAGGTTCAGAATTATTTAACTAGTGGGTCCAAAGAGCTGTGGTTGCCTTTAAGTCCCCCAACCAAGGAGTAGCTTCTCAGAGGGTGAGAAAGGGACCCCTCAGGAGAATGACAGAGATTGTGGAAACTGCTATACCTTTGGTCCCCACCAGAGCTCAGACACCTTGTTAAAAGATGCAGAGAAAATGCTTTCCTGGGGCAGGCTGTTCAAAGAATTCCATGGGGTACTTCCAACTCATAAATGAAGAAAGAGTTGAGATTTTTTCCCTGTGGAAAAGGCTGCTCTTTTTCCATAATTTATTAATGACCATCTATTAATTTTTTTTCTCTAGGAAACCTGTTAAGGATCATTGTAAACAAAATTTAATCTTTCTATAGTTTATTTTGCAGTTTCCAGAAGGATTTTGTATGCATGTTCTTCTTTGATTTGTTTAATCTCCTTTGGTTTATGTTTCATAAAATTATAATTGATTTTCACATGTCCTCACCTAGCAAAATTAAAAAAAAAGTGGTGACCTCGTTAATCCCCAAAATCCAGGAGAAATTTTGCAAGTTCATGAATCTCTAAGAATCTGGAGTCTGCTATGGATATGGTGGGATGGGGCCCAACAGGGAGATGACCCCAGTGGATATCAAAAACCATTCAGTAAACATAAGGATTTATGATCTCATGTTAGAGAAATGCTTTCACAGGGCTTCTCAGCACATTTTTTTTGGGGGGGGGGTCTAGTATGCATCGGGAATCTCTGAGGGGAAATTTACAAAAGAGTATATAGCATTTTTAAACATATTTTGAGCATTGAAGCATTGGATTTACTTTGGGTGATCATTCATTAGCCAATTATTAATTGGAAAGAGGCAGGTAGAAAAGACTGTGGTAAAAATCTTAAAATGCACAGCTCTTCTGACTTTAAAGTTTCACATTTTCTAAAAAGTAACGGTGCTCTTCCACCAAAATTCAGCATCATTAGGCATGTTAGATGCCTGTGACACAGTTGAGTTCAGGAAGTAGTATAATCAATTACATTGCCATGTTTAATTTGTTTTAGTTTATCATGTTTTTCTGCCTTGTTAGTGTAATAACTCCACACATTTTAAAAGCTTCAGGAAGTCAGTAGTAAGTAGCCTGCATTATACTTTATAAATTTTAAATGTTTCTAGGCCTGATATCAAGGACAAATAGCATTGGTTTTGATATAAATTATTTCCAAAACTGTGGCATAAATAGTATTTCAAGTTTTGCAATAAAATGACCAGTTTCCAAATTATTTTATGCTATAAATTGTTTATATTTGTAATGTTTTTATGCTTTTTAATTGTAAATTTAACATTTATTTATTTAGCATTTATATACATTTCTGTTGTTGGAGACTTTTTGTCCTCAAGAATTTTAGCATCTATTGTTCTTAAGCACTTTTCTTTGGACAGTTTTTTGACAAACATTTTATCTTCAGAACAGTCCTGTAGGAACTGTTATCTCCATTTTACAGATGAGAAGACTGAGACTCAAAGTAGTTAAATGATTTGCCAGTCTGAGAAAGTGTTGAACTAGATTTGAACCCAAATCTTCTGTCTTGCCTTTTTATCCATGACTGTATTAGCTCTTACAGCCATAAATAATCCCTAAAAATATCTTCTAATTAGAGAGGGTTCTTAGTTTTTCACTGTGGGTAACATTGCTGGGGGGGAAATAGCAATCATATTTTAACTAGCTTCTTAAGGCCATGTGGTACAGTGGAAACCACACAAGGCTTTGCCTCCTGAGTCCTTGGTGTGAGCCTGCATAGTATATGATCCTGAACAAGTCATTGTACATCCTTGGACCTCCTTTTTCAGCCTGAAAAGGAAAGGGAATGGGCAGGGGCCAAATTAAACCTCCAGCTTAGATGCTTTCGAAGCTATAGAAATTTCTAAAGCAACTTGGATGTAAGGCAGTGGGTGAAAGCTGCATTGCCTTTAGGCCAACACCTGCCTAGTTGCTTTT